CTACTGTTTGTACCTCCCCCTGCACCAGTCAGAAAGTGAGACTGGACCACGAGCCCAGGAGGACTGTCGGGGCCATGTTTGTTACAAGTGGGTGGGTTTGGGCCGACCTGCGCCCCTAAACAACCGTGAACAACCGAAGGTGCCCGGTGTGTGCTGGGATCAGCGTTCAGCCCGGAACCGCCCCTGTGGGTACAGGGGAGATTCTCTGCTGCCCCCTATAGGATGGGTCCGCACACACTGACCACCTGTGACCACGGGTGCCCCCACATGCCTGGATCAGCGCTCTGCATCAACCTCAGCTTTGTGGGTACAGGGGAGACTCTCTGCTGTCCCCTATAGGACAGGTCCGCACACACAGACCACCTGTGACCGCGGGCCACCCCCACGTGCCTCAGACTAGAACTGCGCCCCACAGGGTCTTCAGTGGCAGAGCTCCCAGAAGTAGACTGTGGGTCTTTCTTCCCATATACCTCTGGGTGAACTTGAACCTCTGTCTTCCGCTTAGTAACTGAGCATGTTCACCATTAGTGCAGCCCAGGGACACATGCCCCCGCAGAGCCTGACCTCACTGCCCATTCAGTGCCTCACAGCCCTGCTGAGGGGGCCTGGGACAGGCCAGCCTGGGTGGAGACCCCTGAGACCCCTTTCCCGTCGTGCACCACGCCTGGTTCTTTTCAGACTTTTATCCGTGAGAGAAGAAGCCCGGGTGTCCCAGCAGTTAAGCACTTGATTGCCAGCCAGAAGGTGGGCGGTTCAGTTCCACCCAGCGGCTCTTGGGAAAGAGGATTCCCGGCTCTCATATAAAAATTTGCAGCCTTGGACACCCTATGGGGCGTTGTCGGCTCACTGAACCAAATTAGATCAATAGTGCATGTGGATTTGGTCTTTGTAAGGAGCTGGGTGGCACCGTGGTTAAAGCACTCAGCTGCTAACAGCAAGGCCGGCAGTATGAACCCATCAGTAGGTCCACGGGAGAAAGACGAAGCCATCTTCATCCATAAAGATTAACAGTCGTGGAAACCCACGGGTTTGTCCCACGGGCCTCACTGGAGACTTGGTTTCTGAGGCCAGGATTCCTCCCACTTCATCTCTGAGTCACGTGTCTCCCGTCTGCATCCGGCTCTGTCTTCCTTATCAGGAAGGACCCGCCAAAGATGGATACGCAATGATGCGTGGGGGCAGGCGAGGCTGAACCGAAGCAGGGATGATCTTTATTACGACGGCAGTTACAGAGCTTGGGGAGATGATGGGGAGATGGGAAGGGTCACCCCTTGGGCAGGGGAGACCACCAGTGTAACCCCCACACTGCACACAGATACTGGACTCTGGGAGGGATGGGGGCAGGTGTGAGGAAGGACGGTGCAGGACTAGACGGTGGCCCCAGGGTTTTGGACCAGGGCAGACGGGGGAGGATCATCGAGAAAGGGGATGCCCACAGGTATTCCCCCTTAAATCAGGTAGTCTCCTTCAGCCTATTGCTGGAATTCCTAAACATAAAAGGGTGGTGGGATTTCATAACAGGCCCCGGTAACACCCAGCCTCATCGTAACAACAGCGCATACTATGACAAACCACAGAGAAACGAAGGGTGGGATTGTTAATCCCTGCCATCCAGTGTGTTCCCACTCACAGCAACTTGGGGTGTGGTTCCAAGGACTGACTGGTGGATTTCTCCTGCTGACCTTATTGTTAGTAGTCCAGTGCTTGTCCTACAGCGCCACACCAGGAGTCCAGGGGGATGAGAGACGCCTACAAAATGCTCACAGCCGTGATTTTCACAACCACCCACCCATCCACCCAGGAGGCCCTAGGACCTCAGTTGCTGTATCTTGCCCACAGCTGGCTGTATCGTGAGTCCACAGTGCAGAATGTGGATGTGGAGCCCGAGGACGGAACAGCCCATGTGACAGTGATCATGAGCAACGTTGCCTATGGAAAATTCCGGAAACTCTTCCCAGGATAAGACTCTTTGCTCAGCCAGTGGGTTCTGTGGTTCTGACCCAGGTAGGGCAGCACCGTCTTGACCCTGCCTACCCCCAGCTCCCTCTGTTGTGTGTGCTGTGGAGCGAAAGCCTTGCGCCCACCAACCAACTGCACAGAGGTGACCCCATGTGTGGCTGGGCTCTGTGGGCTTCTTTCTCTGCAGCTGCATTTTCAGAAGTAGATCGCCAGGGCTTTCTTCTGAGGTACCTGTGGGTGGAATCACCTCCAGCTTTTCATGGAGCACCGAGAATTAATCGTCTGCATGGCGTACAGACCTGTGGCCAGCTTTAGAGCCACTAGTTCTAGAATATTCCACACCAATAGCACACGAGTGGCATGAATTCATCTCCAAAATGTGTTACAAGATCCTAGGCACCACCTGGCTTTGTTCTGACATTTGTGAGCTGCAAACCGGAGTCTCAGGGGCTCCTAGCTTGTCGGTCACTCTTTGCATGGCAGCAGCTTGAGTGTCTCCAACATCACCTGTTTCGTAGGCCCCAGGGCTGCCACGCTTAGCTTCTCTCCAATGCAGGAGTCGTTAAAAGCCAGCATGGCTACTCGTGAAATGCCACGGACATATACAGAGGAAGAACAAAACAGTTGTATCATGAAATAAGTATTAAGCTATTGCACAGGCTCTGACCCAATCCTACAGAGATTGTCCTTAACTGCCATCGAGTTGTTCCAATTCATAGCAACCCTCTATAGGGTTTCTCAGGAGTGACTGGTGAGTTTGAACTGCCAACCTTGCAGTTCAGTTCTTAT